CCCTGGAGGGGTTCCCAAGCTGTGGAGATGTGGTGTGAGGGACATGGGGCAGTGGGGACCTGGCAGTGCTGGGGGAACAGTTGGATTTGATGATCTTAAAGGTCTTTTGTTATCAAAATGGTTCTGTAACTCTGTGACTTGGCAGCACCGTCCTTCCCCAGCCAACCACCTCTCTAGCTGGTAGCACCAGCTCTGCCACCACTACCAAGTCCTCCTGCTCTGTGATCACCCTTACAGGCCATGGGATAAAGTGATCCTGCAGTAGGGAAACACCCAAACATGAGCCTGTGAGAGCTGCCCGAGCAAGGACGGGCAGGGGGAGGTCGGGGTGCCTGGGGATGGGTGGTGAGCAGCGAGGGCGAGGGGTGTGAGCTGGATGGACACAAGCTGTGCAGAAACAAACCTGCATCTCCCTCTGGGAGCTGATGTAATGGAGAATCTTCATCCTTGGTCCTAAGGGAATTCCCATTTCTTTCAGGTTCTCCTCTGTGCACAAGAACTGGAAAACAAGCAACAGATAGGAGCCGAGGAGCAGAGCTGTGTGTGGGGTGAGGTGTTTCTGTTCTCTCTGTTCTGTTCCTGCTGCACTCAGAGACATTTCATCTGTGAGTGACAGCACCAGGAAGACGTGCACAGGGTGGGAGGATGGGGAAGAAAAGCAAAGCCACACAAGAGAGAGCAGAGCAGGGGTGCTCCTTACCAGTGCTTGCCTGTCCATTTTCTCCTTCTCAAAAACATCACGGTACTCGGACAGCTCCAGCTTCTCCAGGATTTCCTTTATTTCCTCCATACCTCTCGTGCTCGAGGCTGTCCTGGACCCCTGTGGACAGAGCCATCAGGAATCACACTTTCTGCTCACTAACTGCCTCCTGTGCATTTTGGAGTCTTTCCCCCTTCCTGAAGCAGGAGGTTGGTGTGAGGCTGAGCCAGCACAGCTCCCCACGGGTCACCCGTGGCTCTGTGCCCTGCCCAGAGCTTGTACCTCCTCGCTGTGCTCATCCTCCTCAGGAGCAGCCTTTTGGTTCGTCAGGAGATCAAACAGGATGAGCGACCCTAGAAGCCAGGCACAGGCAGAGCATCAGCATCAGGTCGGGGAGAAACCCCCGAGCTGTCTCCTTGCTGGGGCGGCGTCACGCCGCGGTGACACTCAGGGGACCCCGGGGGGGTGGCACCTCTTACCCAAGCTGTGCCCCGCGATGGAGACCCCCCCTTTGAAGAGCGGGTTCCTCTGCAGGAAGAGCTGGTGCAGACGGTTCATTTCCGAGGCCACCGTGTCCACGATGGTCTGGCAATAGGTGGAGCTGTTGTAGAAGAAAACGTCCAGGATGGTGTCGTTGATGAAGTGACGCAGGCGGTTGATGCTGGGCAGAGTGATTCGCTCCAGGTCCCTGTGGGGGAGAGAGGAGAGAGAGCACTGCAGAGAGAGGTGCCACCGAACCCCACCACGCCTCTGAAGCAAAATATAGCTTCACAGGAGGATTATCACTGTCTCAAAGGACGTAACCGTGGAGCCATAGAATGGTTTTGGTTGGGAGAGACCTTTAAGCTCAGAGTCCAGCCACTCCCCCAGCACTGCAGCGGCCCCCAGGAGCAGCAGAGCTGGCCCAGGAGCTGGCTGTGTGCTCTGCCAGCCCCACACCCTGGCACCACGGGAGCTGGGCACTTACACGTCCACGCCGGTGGAGTGGAGGGAGCTGTGCCAGTTCACAGGCAGGAACTCCACCCGCCCGATCTGCTGCTGCTCCTGGGCTTTCTTGAAGTGTGCTTGCAGCATGCTCAGGGAAACGTTCCTGAAGTCATTCACTGCAAAAGAGCATGAAGTCCTGCGGGGATCCAGTGGGCTGCAGGGCCAGCCTGCTGCATCAACAGCACTTAATACGATCAGAGAAAATCCCACCGGGGTCTTTAATCTGCTGGTGCTACCCTAAGACCTTGGGTCTTTAACTGCAAAGATCAGGGGAAGGCTCCACACGTGTGTGTTTCCTGGATTTCACTGTCCCACCTGGAGCAAGCCTCCCTTCTGCATGGGCAGAGCTTTCACACAGCAGTCGGGATGAGAAAGGTACTTTCAGGAATTTAAAATAAACCTGTTGTGAAGATGCCCCTGTTAGAAAGGGAGTCCTAAGGGAGGAGACAAACTAGAGGTCACTCAGTTCTGAGGGAGAAAGGCCGATTTCCTCCGTTCCACACGGCCTCAGTTCCATCAGATGAACATCTACAAGAACAGGCTGCACTGCAGCAGAGGTGTATTCTATAGGAATTAAAGACAGTCTGCTGAGAAAAATCTCAGTTCCCTTGATTTCTACAAGTTAAATCCTGTCAGACATTGGGGCAGCTCAGCAATCACCTCTCCTACAGAACTGAAGCACTAAAGCAAAGGAAGGTGAGCTGGTCAGGCCAGAGCTCCCTGGTCAGGTGCCCCCTGTCCACAGCCGTGACCCACAGCGGGTCTGACCCACAGCAGGTCTGACCCAGCGAGACCTCTCGCCCGCTCTGCTGACCCCCAGGTGTTGGCAGCTTGGGGGTTTCCTGCCCCAGGAGCAGCGTCCCTGGTTTTGAGTCCAAAAGGGTTTAGATGGTTCCTTGGAAAATCCGTGTCCAGTTTGGGAAAGTCGCTCTCGTGAGCCGTGGCAGGGGAGAGCGATGGGAGGGGTGGCCCAGACCTTTCCAGAGGCCAGGACCCAGTGGGTTGGGAGCGCTGCCATCAGCAGATTCCAGCGTGCTGCTGGCACGGGCCGGGCTCACCCCGTGCTCCCCGGGGCCTCCTGGCCCCCCTGGCAGTGCAGGGGGCAGAGCACCCCCCCCAGCCCCACACCTACCGCACTGGACGATGCTCCTGAAGCGGATGTCGCAGGCGGGGCC